ACGGGCCCCGCCCCCGACTGTGGCCTGGAGCTTCCGGACAGTTCCGAGCCCAGGCGAGCCGGGCAGCCCGCGGGGGGCAGCTGGGGCCCAGCCCTGAGGCCCTGCGGACGGTCTCCGCAGGAGGAGAAGGCCCGGAGGGAGGAGGAGGATGCGAGGAGGAGGGCCGAGGACGACCTGAAGAAGAAGAAAGCCCTGTCTTCCATGGGCGCCAACTACAGCAGCTACCTGGCCAAGGTGGGTGTGGCGCCCGGGCGCAGCCCGCCTCCGCCTCCGGCCGCAGCTCCGCGCCCCTCCTGAGGCCGGGCCCCCCTTCCGTGTCCCCTCAGGCTGACCAGAAGAGAGGCAAGAAGCAGACAGCCCGGGAGATGAAGAAGAAGGTTCTGGCGGAGAGACGCAAGCCACTTAACATCGACCACCTCGGTGACGACAAGCTCAGGTGGGGCGGGGCTGTGCCACCTTCTCCGGGTCGGTGTCAGGCCACCGAGGCCCGCTCTCGGTGCTGGCCGCAGGAGGGCAGCGGGTGGCCTGGGCCCTGCTTTTCGGGGCTTATCTGGCCAAGCCTGACCTTTGCCGCTTTGCAGGGACAAGGCCAAGGAGCTATGGGACACCCTGTACCAACTGGAGACTGACAAGTTCGAGTTTGCAGAGAAGCTCAAGCGCCAGAAGTACGACGTGAGTGCCACCCCCCTGCCCTCAGCCGGGCTTGTGCGCCCTCTCCCCACGCGCCCACCGACCCGGCCCCGAGGAGCCCACACACGCTGTCCCCACACACGGACCCTGGCCCCCTGCTCCTCCAGCTGTCCCCTGAGGGCGGCCCACGGCAGCCGCGGGGAGGGGCCTCGGGTTTCTGAGTTGCCTGGAGCTTGTAGACGGTCCCCAGGGGGGCACTCGGTTCCTCTGCTACCAGGGTGTCACCCCTCGCAGTCTGCTCCGCAAACCCAAGTCCTGGCCACACCAGCACCGGCTGCCTATTCCCTCGGGGCCCCCAGGAACCCAGCTCCGAACAGGCAGGGTGACACACTCTCGCCCGGCTGGGGCCCGGGACTAGGGGTGGCCGCCCAGCGTCGCCCGAGAGGGCCCATGACTCGGAGCAGCAGCCATGTGCGGACGCCGCCCCTGAGGCCACGTGGGCCACGGCGACCGCTGCGGGAAGCCCAGGCTTCCTGCCGGCCAACAGGGTCCAGGCTCGGGGGTCAGCACGCCCCTCTGTCGGTTCTCCCCGGAGATCGGCCTGCAGAAGCGGGGTTCACCCGCGTAGAGCCAGGGCGGCCCCACTGTGCTCAGCCCATGGAGGGTCCTGCGGGCCCGGGCGAGCCCCGCCGCCCACCCAGCCCCGTAACCATCTCGGTCTTTCCAGATCATGAACCTCCGGGCCAGAGTGGAGATGCTGGCCAAGTTGTAAGTAGCCGAGTCCACTCTGGACCAGGCTCATGGTGTGCGATGCACGGTGAACTCTCGCATGGCAAAACTCTGGGTCAGAGAGGATGTCGGCGGCAGTGGGCACGGAGGCGACGGGGGCCTCCCCTCTCCTCCCGCCCCCAGCTTCTCCCTCCTTCTGGCAGCCAAGTGGCTTCTGAGGCTGGCCTGCCGTCCTTGTGGGCAGCTGGGGAAGGGCCTTGCCTTCCCCGAGCCCCCCTCTGGGCAGTCAGGAGCGGGGAACAGCTGGGCCAAGGGGTGAGAGGGGACTCTGAGCTCAGCCCCCAGAGAGTCGGGGGCTCCGTTAGCAAGCCGCACCTCCCGCCCCGTGCCCCCTGCCCCACATCCCGCCGCAGGCTGGAAGGTAAGTGGTCAGCTCTGGAGCTGCTGCGTGTCAGAGCCCAGGTGTCCAGTGCACGCCACCAACAGTAAGTCAGGCACGAGCCTGAGGGCCAAGAGACGGTGTCCTCCGGCCAGAGTGGCCCCTGTGTGGCGTCGAGGGGGCCAGGGCCGTGGCCGGAGCCTATGCCAAGGAGGGCGTGCTGGCCCACGCCCTGCCTGGCCCGCCGGACCCGTCACGGTAAGTCCCCGTGCCGGACCCGTCGCGGTAAGTCGCCGTGTTGTTTGCAGATCACCAATCTCAGGAGCCGCATCGACCAGGCCCAGAAGCAGTGAGTAGCCCGGCCGGTCCCTCGCTCTGCACTGGGCAGGTGGCCCCACAGGGACAGCCGCCACCGCCCACCAGGGGCCTGGCGCTATAAGCTGCTCCCAGCGGCAGCCAGCCCTCAGCAGGGCAGTAACCAGACTAACCAGCCACTCGAGCAGCGTGTCCAGGCCCTGCGCCCCTGGACACACGGCCCCCTTTCGCCCTGTCCCAGGGCCCAGGACTATGGCAGATCGGGGGGCGGCAGGAGGCCCCTTCCCTGGGTGTGAGTGGCTCTGGGTGTCCTTCAGACTGGCGTGGCAAAGCCAGACTGGGCCTGGACTTGTCACCAGCCCTCCGCACCCTGTAAGGTCAGCCCTGGGGTCCGGGAGACCCACGGTGACTGCACTGGAAGGGCCCAGGACAGCCAGCGCTGCCCGCCCCGGGGCCCACGCTCCACTGCCACCCACCCCAGGGTTGCCAAGCCTGGTCCCTGAGCTGGTCACGTGCGAGAGTGCACTGTCCCCAGGTCAGCCTGGAGTTGGGAAGTGCGAGGTTTTTCTCTGCTTCCTTGCTGCTCCCAGAGACGAGGTCCTTCTCCTGGGGCCAGGGGGACGGCGGGGTCACACTAGAGAAGGCGACACCCCATGTTCCCTGGCAGGGGTTGACACAGCATGGCATGCGTGTGCATGTGTGTATGTGTATGTGTGTGTGCATGCGTGAGCTCTCAGGCTGGTTCCTGCAGGATGTGGGCCAGTGGCCATTATCGCCAGGCCTTCTCTCAAAGTCAGCCTTGGGGACTGCACGGCCTTTCCCAGACAGTTGTCCGAAAGGCCAGCATCTGGGCTCACACACCATGGTCGTCCCAACCCCCTCACCTAACCCAGCACCCAGCTCCCTCGGACAGAAGGGGCAGGCTCCCAAGGACTGCCACTCCAGGGTGCTGACCTCCTGACCCCAGGGTCCAGCTCTAACCGGTGGCCAGAGGACGGAGACAGAGGCCTCCCAGGTCCTGAGCCTATCTGCCGGGCCTGGCACCCTGGGGTGAAGGGCCAGAACGTCCCGCTGCACCAGAGGCTGTGGCCCAGCGTGCATGCTCTTTTCAGGCCAGAGTGCCTGGGAAGGAGACAGCCATCTGCAGAGGTGGCTTCCTGAGCAGCCTGGGGTCAGCCCTAAGTGGGCCCCTCTCACAGGAAGGGAGGGAGGGCCATGGTGTCCCCACTCAGGGCCAGGGTGTCCCTGCTGGCTGAACCGGCCCTTCTAACCATACTAGCTGCCTCAGCACAAGGCCACCCAGGCCCCGCTGGGCCAGGTACAGGTGAGTCGCTTCCGCTTGGATGAAGCTAGGAAGGTGCGCAGGGGGCTCTGGGGGCCCAGCCGGGCCCACGGCCCTGCCAGCAGCCTGGGCGAGCAGAGACGTCAGGACCGGGGGCCTGGGACAGGCTGGAGAGGGGGCTTGGCCGGGGTCTGGTGCCGCGCAGCCCGAAACTCAAGACCGACCTGCTTCCCGCTTGCAGCAGCAAGAAGGCCGGGGCCACGGCCAAGGGCAAAGTCGGAGGACGCTGGAAGTAAAGCAGCTGCAGGGCCCCGAGGCGGAGACCCCTGGCGTGTGCCCGCACGGCGGCGTCCGGCCCCTCGGCCCGGGGGCAGGGGGCTCACTCCATGTCTCTGTCCTGGCTGCCCCCACCTTCTGGGGTCTGTGAATAAAGTGACCAGACTCCCCTCCACTGGCGTGCGCTGGTTCATGGATGAGGCCCCTGGGGGGGGATGACGAGGGGCTGGGCTGAGGGCCAGGAGGGCAGTGGGGGCCCGAGGGACACTGGCTGCTCTTCTCAGGGGGACTCCTGGCCTGTGGCCGGACTCGCCCCGGGGCGCTGGCCACAGATGCTGCACTGACTCTGCTGGCGTCTTTGCCCCTAGAAGTCCCCTTGGTTGCCCCTCTTCCCACCTTGGCCGAGGGCCTCGCCCCCAGCCCCGGGCAGGCCCCCCAGCCTGGTCAGCTCTGTGCTGGTCTGGAGGGGATGGGGGGGGGACCCGGTGCACAGTGGAAGGTTTCACAAACGTCCCCCAGCAATGTGGGGCAGAAGGGGCGCGCCGGGGGTGGGGGTGCAGCTGGGGCTCCCTGAAGGCCGGAGGGAGGGAGGGAGGTGGGGGAACAGCGCCTTCCACAGAGCGGCCCCGCACACAGACTGCTCTTTCCACATGATACGCGAACACAGAGCATACTGTGTGGTGGATTTGAAAGTCCTGACTAAACGGAATTATGGAAAATATAAATCAGAAAAATTGGATCAAGATGCACAGCCTCGCACAGCCAGGTATTCACGGGGCGAGCTTTCCGGAGCCGCCCCTCCGGGAAGGCGCTGCAGGAGGGGGTGGGGAGCAGGGGGGTCGGCTCGCGCCCAAGACAGAGCCCAGAGAGCGCCTGCACACACGTGCACCCCAACACGCGCGCAGCGTGCCCCCAACCCCACAGGCTGGACTGAGTGTGGTAGGTGCGACTGCACAATGTGCACCCCAACACGCGTGCAGCGCGCCCCAACCCCACTCGCTGGGCTGTGCGCGGCAGGCGGGAATGAATGCACCGAGCGGCCACGGTGCTTCGCCGCAGGGCTGCGAAGCGGTGTGGCGTCACGTGACCGGCGGCGGGGCCCAGCGACCGCGGGCAGCACCCAGGCTGGACTGAGTGTGGTAGGTGCGACTGCACAATGTGCACCCCAACACGCGTGCAGCGCGCCCCAACCCCACTCGCTGGGCTGTGCGCGGCAGGCGGGAATGAATGCACCGAGCGGCCACGGTGCTTCGCCGCAGGGCTGCGAAGCGGTGTGGCGTCACGTGACCGGCGGCGGGGCCCAGCGACCGCGGGCAGCACCCAGCGCACGCACGCGCGCGCG